CACTTTATTATCGCTTTCTGGCCCACGTGTGATAACGTCCATAGTTACGTCTCACAAAATGGCCAAACATTTTTAAAACGAGGTTACCACTTTGGTAGGCTTTCTGTCTGCTTGCACACATGTGGCCAATATGAAATGTGGCAGTTTTTAATACAGCCTTCCAAGGATCAATTCTTTTTTTAAAAACTCAAGGCTTCTTTATAATTTGCATGCAGTTTATGGTTGGCCCCAGGAGAATTTTGTTCAGTTGCAAAGAGCATTATAATTAGAAGGTGTGTAAACAAAATGAAAAGGCAAAGGCCAACGTTATGAGATGATGGAGTACGGAAGATAAAAAAGTTTAAATGAGAAATATAAATGTGGAATTTTGCAGGAGTAAAATGCTTTTGTGAAGCCAACCAGTAGGGCCCCAATAGGCACTACCAGCAGACTTGCTGCTGATGCAAGGCCTGTCAAGCCCAGAGATTCAGGAGACTCATTTTCTCTGGAGTCTATCTATAAAGACCCACATATCATGTGGAGACTCACACAGCTTGTATGTTCCTTCACACTAAAACGTTAAAAATGAAATAAAAAATTATAATCATTCTTAGCATTTTTTTCTAAGTGTGCCATTTTTCTATAGTAGTTTTTTTTTTTAACTTTGGAGAAATAATCCAATTTGTGAGCCAACTGTCCATGCAATACAAAAATCCAATTGTAAATCCTAAAAAAGGTAGGGATAACAGAGACTTGACAATTTAATCCTCTGCACTGAATCAGAATCTGATATACCCCTCCATTAAGAGATCTATTAGAGTCAGTGTCCTCCATAAAACATCACCTTTTAGTTCACTTCCAGTCCAGATATTGCTGTACTACAGCTCTGTTCATCCCCCACTACAGGCCAGTTGAGGCTGCTGGGAAATGAAATACAGAAGGATAGCAAGTTTCTCAGTTCTGCAACGGATCAATGCTATAGATCAAGCAGATAACGTGAAGCAAATTTCATTCCTCCAATTGCAGTAAAAGCAAAAGCAGAAACACATTAAAGCAAAACTGGAGGATGTTATGGATGACATGGAGATGGAGGAGGGTCAGCACAATGATTCCTGGCTCTACAAATTTGCAGATGTTGTTGGACAAGTCCCAACCATCCCTTACCATTGACTATGCCAACTATGGCTGATGGGAGCTGTAGTCCAAAAATATCTGGCAGACCACTCATTCCCCATCCTTTGCTTATCACATGCTGCTTTCCAGGCCCACTTTCACACATAGCCGTCTGCTGATCCAAGTATCTAAGAAGGACAGCATCACCTCTATACGCCTCTCCCCTTTAACTTTCATCACCACCTGCAGCTGCTGTACTACTTCACTAAGTCTATTGTAGTCAGGCTGTCATCAACTGCCTGCTCAAGCTCTCTTCAAAGTAACAGAAACAGAATGAGCAGTTTGGCTAGGAGCTTGTCAGCTGCACTCCAAAGCAAGGATGGGGAGGGACTAACACCAATTGGAATCCTCTTAACAACACAACAGCCAAGCCAAGTGATAGCAGAAGCTGCTGGAAATAGGCCCTGACCTTTCCAGAAAGGCACCAGGTGTGCATGGAATGGGAATTTCCAGAAACTTTTTTCTATGGGTACCTTTGTGAGTAGGAGATGCATTCAGAAACATGACCTTTGGGGAAAATAGGTTTCATCTCCTTTGTCCTTCTCTGTCCCTCCTCAGGTTGGCAGGTACCTGAGGAAAGAGCATGACTAATTGTGAAGGGAGGGAGGAAGAAGCTGTTATTTCTCCATATAGATGGGCATCAGGACATTGCTAGCATTGGAGAGGGTAGGCCCTTTTTTAGGTTTAGAATAGATTTTCTAATGCCAGCATTATGAACAAGGCTAATGGAAGCAGAGCCAGGAAGTATCCAGGCTCATAGTGATTCCAAATTCAAATCCTGGGCACAGATTGGAAAAAAGACTATTTGATTACAACTTCCAGTATCCCCTAGCCAGCACTTAAGGATTCTGGGAATTGTTGTCCCAAATGATTCTGTCCTCCCAACTCTGATCCTTGCAGGGATGCCAGCCATTCGAATATTTATCTGACAGAAACGTACAAAGAACCACCCAGAAACTATTGATAGGATCTCAGTTTGCTGAGGAAGATATCTAGCAGGCTGTTAGGGATTTGCTAAGGGGTAACTCTTTCCCTACATTCTTCTTTTTCCCCAGCCCAGGCATGAGCCAAATACAGCACTCCAGATATTGGTGACTGCAGCTGCCAGCAGTCTTCACCATCAGCTATACTTGCTGAAGGGAAATGCAGTCTAAATAACAAAAGCCACTCACTGCCCATCTCTGGGGCCATGTGGTATTGTTGCTACCATGCTCCACAAACCAT